TCCCCCCCAACCTCCTTATCACCCAAAGGGTGGTCGTATAGGTATGGTAATAGGTATAGGTATAGGTATTGGTGTATATATATATATGTATATCGGAGGCTGGGGGGTGAGATCGCCCTGACACGGAGACCCCCCACCGAGAAATCGGTTTCGGTTTCGTGTTCGTGTCGTGCGTGCGAGGCGAAGTTGCGCGTGATCCTCCTGTGGCTAGGCCGAGGTAGGAGCGAAAGGGCGTTCCCGTCCGCCGGTGGCTGGGAGGTGTCCCAGTTGGGCTGGGCGGTGTCCCGGGTGTCAGTAGGAGCGAAAACCCGTTCCCCGTCCGCCGGTGGCCGGGAGGTGTCCCAATTGGGCCGGGCGGTGTCCAGGGTGTCCCGGGCGTCCCGGCGCTAACGCATGTCGCTAATTTCATAATTCATTTTTGTCGGCGCCTGAAGCGGGCTTTCTCATCAAATCCAGCTTCTCTGATCCAATCCATCATGTTCAATCCAATCCATCTTATCTTATCCAGCCAATCTAGTCCCATCTTATCCAACCCAATCCAATCCACCCAACCCAATCCATTAATTCATCTGTTTCTGCGCCTGCGGCGGGCCAATCCAATCCATCTTATCTTATCCAAACCATTTCTTCCAATCTAACCCATCTTACCTTATCCAACCCACCCTATCCCATCCAATCCAATCCACCAAACCGAATCCATCAATTCATTTTTGTCGGCGCCTGCGGCGGGCTTTCTCATCCAGTCCAGCTTCTCTGATCCAATCCATCATGTCCAATCCAATACATCTTATCTTATCCAGCCCATCTTGTCCCATCTTATCTTATCCCATCCAATCCAATCCACCCAACCCAATCCATCAATTCGTTTTTGTCGGCGCCGGCGGCGGGCTTTCTCATCAAATCCTGCTTATCCAATCCATCTTGTCCAATCCAATCCATCTTGTCTTATCCAACCCCTCTTGTGACAGGCTGGAGGTCAGTCAGGGTGGACATTTGATCTCAATCCCCTCCCCCAACCTCCATATCGCCCGCAGGGCGGTCGTTAGGTAAGTATGTATATCGGAGGTTCGGGGGTGAGATCGCGATGGAACGGAGACCCCCAACTGGGAAATCGTTTCGTTTCGTTCGTGTCGTGCGTGCGGGCGAGGCGAAGCTGCGTGGGCGCGCGAGAGGAATGAACCCGCCGTTGCTAGGGCGAAGTCGAGACAAATGATTCTCCCCCTCCCTCCCGCCCGTCTGGCGGTGGCTCGCGGTGTCCCGCGGTGTCCCATGGTGTCCGCCGTTGCTAGGGCGAAGTCAAGACAAATGATTCTCCCCCGCCCGCCCGTCCGTCCGTCCGTCTGGCGGTGGCTCGGGGTGTCCCGCGGTGTCCCGTGGTGTCCCGTTGAGTGAAATCGATAGTGAGATCGATAGTGAGATCGATGTGGTCCCTCGAGGTGTCCCGTGGTGTCCCGTTGAGTGAAATCGATCGACAGGTGTCCCATGGTGTCCCGTTGAGTGAGATCGATGGTGAGATCGATAGTGAGATCGATGTGGTGTCCCGAGGTGTCCCGTGGTGTCCTATGGTGTCCCGTTGAGTGAGATCGATCGTGAGATCGATCATGAGACCAGTAGTGAGATCGAGAGGTGTCCTGCGGTGTCCCGTGGTGTCCCGTAGAGTGAGATCGATAATGATATCGACAAGTGTCCCGTGGTGTCCCGTTGAGTGAAATCGATAGTGAGATCGATTGAGTCAGATGTTGGTTCCCCCCCCTCTCCCCCGCCCACAACCTCCTTATCACCCGAAGGGTGGTCGTATAGGTGTGTATATATATATAGATACACATATGCCCAGGGAGAGAGAGAGAGAGAGAGAGAGAGAGAAAGAGAGAGAGAGTGAAAGAGAGAGAGAGAGGGAGAGACAGAGAGAGAAGGGGAAAGAGACAGGGAGAGAGAGATATACAAATAGAAAGAGAGAGAGAGAGAGAGCGAGAGAGAGAGAGAGAGAGAGGACGGGAGATCAGGGTCACGAACCTATGTGCGATCTTCAAAACCACCACTCTTATGCTCGTACTCGTGCGTCTTCGTGACTGTAAACGAAATTAGATGCACGTATTTCTAAGGATATCGCTGCTGCACGTGCAATTCTTTAGCATGCTGGAATGTATGCGCGCATGCAAAAACATACATGGGACACCATCCATCTGGGCGAACCCGCCCCGTAGCCCCCAACCATAACTCTGTGAGTCGATTGTGTGTTCCCGCTGCGCTGCTCCTCCTGAGTAAGGTCTTACATGTGGCAACATCGGATGCCACATCAGGTGGCGTCACATATTCTTCCCTGGCTTCAAGAAAGAAGCATGCGGGTGCGGGGCACGGCGGTCCGCGGTGCACAGCCCAGCACAACCGTTCTTGTCCCACTGCTCCTCCAGCCAGGCCCGGTCCGGCGCCCACTGCATCGGAGCCCTTAGGGGAAGCTGTGGGTCCCCTGACACTAGCTGGTAACGGACGTTCTGGCGACCTCGTAAAAGCTATCTGGACACGCTGCGAACTCCAACAAATCGGTGCGGGAAATCTGCAGCGGCGAACATGCGAGGATGGCTGGTCCGAGCCAGTGCCAGACGTTCTTTCTGGACGCATGTCCAGCCAGCATGAGCTACCTGGGAGAACGAGTGTCAGAGTTTGTTTGGAAAGAAAACTGGGCACTACATCGTATGAGACCAGTTAGAAGAGCGCACAAGGGCGAAGTCTCATTGGGATCTCCATCTGTCGGCGCTCGGCGGGACTCCCCAGTGGGGGCTCGGGAGCATAGTGAATCTTGTGCGGTTGGCGACGACACGTTGGGCGAAATCTGATTTCGATCCGCATACGGCAGGTTCGTGCCCTGACGATTTATGTTTTCGTTTTTCATCTTGTTGTTACTCCAAGCTTCTTAAGAAGCGTCGGGGGGGGCGTCACCCCGCCGACAGCCCCACATCGGCCCCCGACGTGGGCAGCCACCGCGCGCCGAAGGCGCTCCGACCCCCGTCGCAGCGCGACGACGAGGCGAGGTTGACCCCCGTCGGGGGGGTACCCCCCCACGCTTATTAAGTCGGCGGTGGACAAACCTCCCTTTAGAAAACCTCCCCTTAGTGAAAACGGTCCAGGACCGAAACCGACGGACCTGGACCCGCAATAATAACGGCCGCGACGCTCTCTCGCGAACCGAAAACGGCTAATTCGTTAATCGACGTGTCAGGGTAGGAGGTCTATCCACCCACGAATTAAGAACCCCAGAGTATGCATCTTTCAACCTTGAACGATAGCGGCTTCCCGACAGTGCAGACCTTTCGACGTCGGACGATCCCAAGCCACTGGCCACGCTGGACCTCAACCTCACCCCGCGCTCGGGTGACCACTGCGTCGACACGACGCAAGTCTGTCGCACGCGGACGCTCCGCTGGACACCGTGGGGACCAAGCAAGCAGCGGCCGTTCCCTGAGATTCGACGCTGCGAGAGGATTGCAACGTCGCGGCAAATCACGTCCGGAGCCCTATACCCCACCTTTCTGCGGCACTTTTGTTCGGGCCGCACCGATCTGTGATGGCCCTGGGGCGCGAAGCTGGGCGAGAACGCCCGGCGTGAAAAAGTTTCACCGCTCCGATCTCAGAGTATTCCGTCGAGGAGGAGGAGGAGGAGGGACGCCTGTAGAAACGACATCTCGTGCGGAGCCGCATGCGCAGGCGTTCCGCCAGGCTCCGCGAGGGCTCGCAGAGAGTGGCGGCACGGCTGAGAAGCGACGCCTGACGTCGCCCCGCGTGCTTTCGCCATCGCCACGCTGAGGGGCCTCCAACGGCGCAAGGTGTGACCAAAGGAGGGGTGGTGAGGAACCCTGATCTGGGCGTTGCAATTTTTCCACCCAATTTCGGGCCCCAAGGCCATCACATATCGATCCGGCTCGAAGACTGCTGGTGTCTCGGGCTTCGGTCGTGATTTTTCGCGATGCATATTTGTTTCTCGCAACGTCGGATCTCAAGGAACGGAGGGGACTGGCCTGTTTAAGAAACACCCCCAACGACATACAAATCCGCCGACCCTGTCGGCGTGTGTGAGGGGCTTGTCCGTTCAACTCGTCATCTCAGTCATTCGCTGGTAGTCGTCTCTGTCGTCCCCTTTCCCTGCCCCCCCCCTCTCGTGTCATTCGCTGGTCGTGCTCGAGTCGACGGGCAGCCCCAGGGACCTCCTCAGCGCGCCAGCCAACGCGAAATTGACCAACGCCGTCATTGAGTCGAAGGGAAGCCCCTTCCCTTCGATCCCTCCCCCCCAGGAGAGGAGGAGGAGGAGGAGAGGAGAGGAGGAGGAGGAGGAGGAGAGGGAGGAGGAGAGAGGAGGAGGAGGAGGAGGAGGAGGAGGAGAGGAGGAGGAGGGGAGGAGGGGAGAGGAGGAGGAGGAGGAGGAGGGGAGGAGAGGAGGAGGAGGAGGAGGAGAGGAGGAGGGGAGGAGGAGGGAGGGGGGGGGTCATGGGGGGGGAGGGGGGTCACACGCCCCACCCCCCCAGGGAGCCCCGGAGCCCCAAAAAAGCCCCAAGACGGGCCAGGAGGGCCCCAAGAGGCCCCAAAGGCAGTCCAAGAGAACCCCGAATCGCCGCACGTTCTGTCCAAGACGCCTTGACGGCCTCCAGAAGGCCCAAGAGGCCTGCAAAGCGCCCCCGAGAGGCCTCCAGGAGCTTTCTTACGAGAGTTCCAAGAGGCAAATTCATGGATTTCCCATATGTTTTTGACAGATTTTGGCGTTCTTGCCTCTTCCGCTTCCCGACGCGCCAAGACGGCCCAAAGGCCCCCAAGATCGCCCCGAGACGGCCCAAGAGGCCCCCAAGAGGGTCCCCTAACGGCCGAAGAGGGCCCCAGGACGGCCCAAGACGCCTCCAAGACGGCCCAAGAGGCCCCCAAGACGGCTCCAGGAGAGTGCCCAGACGGGGGACCCGAACGGACATTTCGAGCTCTCAGCCCCAAGAGGCCCCCAAGAGGCCCCGAAGAAGCCCCAAGAGGCCCCAAGAGGCTCCCAAGGGGCCCCCAAACTGCCCCAAGACAGCCCAGGAGAGCCCCAAATTGCCCAGGAGGCCTCCAAGAGTGCCTCGAGACGGCGCAAGAGGAGCCCTGGACGGCCCAAGACGGCCTCAGGAGAGCCACAGGCTGTCCCAAGAAAGCCTCTGGCCTCCTCCTCTTCTCCTCCTCCTCCTCCTCCTCCTCCTCCTCCTCCTCCTCCTCCTCCTCCTCCTCCTCCTCCTCCCCCCCCCTCTGCTCCCCCTCCTCCTGCTCTCCTCTGCCTCCTTCTCCTCCTCTTGCTTCTCCTCCACATCCTTCTCCCCCCTCCTCCTCTCTCATCCACCTCCTCCACCCTGTCCCCCCCTCGTTTTCATCTTCGTCGCTCTCAGGGTCGGCGGCAACGGCCGTAAGGCCTTCGCAATAGTGTCCAATCGCGGATAGCGTCGGGCTGCCCAAACGAAGCGGCCCGGGCAACCATCTGGTCCCCCTCCCACAAAGTTCCAGACGACCACCTCTTGACCATCCTCCTCTGAACCACCCAAACCTGGTTTCTGGTTCGTTCGATCTGACCGTGTTCCTTTCGTGCAATCGTAACTTTTAGGATGCAATATACTTGCAATCCCATTTACCAGTCAGAGATCCGTGGACGTCAAACCATTGGCTCAGGATGGGCCGAAAGGAGAAGGCCTTCTCAAATGGCGGCGGGCCTTCTCAGAGGGCCTCTGGCTTTCCTAAAGCTGTTCTGTGTATTTTTGGGGAGGGTTTAGAACACTTCTTAGTAGGCCAGGGGACTTCCGAACCTGTAGAGGCCTCCTACATAGGGTCCGAGGAGGTGTGGTCGGAGTATCGCGCCGAGGAGGCAACATCGGCGATACATCGGCGACGTCGGCGTGGAAACAATCGGGCTCCCCTATCAAGCCGCATTGCCGATGCATCGGCGATGCGGCGCGATCCTCCGACCCGATCTACTCGGATCGCCCCGTCTCACTTCGCCCCCGGGCTCGCCGCCGACAGGTGCCCTTGCTTCTCCTGCTCCGCCTCTGCGCCTAGATTTAGGTCGGGCATGCCCCCTACATGCGGATTTTGGGTGAAAAATTAAAATAATCAATAACCAAACATACACCAACAACACTCAAACATAATAGAGACATCGTCTTCATACTATCTTTTGACTATTTTTGAATATTCCTCCTGTAGAGGGACACGCTCGACTCAAGCCTAGAGGGTCCCTGCAGAGGGGTAGCTGAAACTGCAATTTCGAACCCTCCGACCAAAAGGGGCCCCCCGAGACCGCCAGCAGGCGCCCAAGAACCCCCCAAAAAGGCCCCAAGAGTCCCGAAAGAGCCCCCCAGAGGCTCCCAAGCGGTCTCCGAAAGGCTCCCGAAAACTTCACCGTGGACTTCTTTCCTCTGGAATGGCGTAGGCCTCTAGGACAAAATCTGGTGAAGATAAATTCGAGAATCTCTGAGATCTGGCGGCTCTGGAGGATGTCTCGGGCGCTACGGCCTTCCCGAGCGTCCTGGAGCGCTCTGAAAGCATTCTGGAACGGATTGATCCTCGACCTAGCCACGCCCAGTTCCTGATCCATAGGAATGCGCTCCTCACTTAGGTTGCACCCCGAAGCCTGCGCACACTATGTTCCAAACCCCGAATAACATTAGAGTCCCCTCCGCCTCCATACCGAGGCCGGACTTACCGGTACCCCTCCGCGTATCGCTATATATATATATATATATATATATATACATATATATATATATATATATATATATATATTATATATATATTATAAAATCGGCGCACCTGGGCCCAGGCCCCCGGCGCCGCGACCTCTACCACAAATGTGGGTGTGCAGGCGCTTGGGGAGCCCCAGAGGCCCACAAAACGCCACCAGAAAGCGCCAAGAGAGCCCGAAAACGCCCCAAGAGAGACCCGAGACGCCCACAGGCTGCTGCAAGACGCCCAAGATGGCCTCCAGACGGCTTAAAGGAACCCCCAAGCCACCGCAAGAGGCCCCCAAGAGGCCCCCCAAGGGAACCCCAAGAGGCAAACATAGCCCAATTCCTTTCGTAAAACGTATGTTTTTAGCATAATGATTGTTTTCGCTGTCGTACCGTACCGTTCTTGACGAACTCAGAGGCTTCCAAGATCGCCGCAAGACGGCCCAAGAGGCGTCCCAGAGGGCCCCAAGACGGCCTAAGAGGGCCCCAGTACGGTCCAAGAAGCGTCCAAAACGGCCCAAACGGGCCCCCGAAGGGACCCAAGAGGAGCCCCCCTCCCGAGGCCCGCAAGAGGCCCCAGAGAAACCCCCAAGAGGCCCCGAGACGCCCCCAAGATGGCCCAAGAGGCTTCCAAAACGCCCCCAAGGGAGCCCCCAGGAGCAAACATTGCCCCATTCCCCAGGGAAAACATCGAATTTGGACATATTCGCCTGACTCACCTTCGCAGCGTCCAAGACGGCCACAGAAGTCTCAGAAAAACGCGGCAGAGGTCCCCGAGAGGGTTCGAAGACGTCCCAAGAAGCGCCCAGACCCCGAAGAGGCCACCAAGACCGCTCCGAGCAGGGGTCTCGGACGAAGGCTCCGAATGGATTCTGCCGCCCTTGTGCTGGAGAGGCCCCCCAGGAAG